AACATAATTTTTTGTAGAAAACCAGGGTTTGTAATTATTTTAAAATATTTTACCGAAAGTTTTGTAAAGGTAATAGTTTTGTAAAGGTAATATTTATGTAATTTTGTTTTTTTTGTTTTGTTAATTTCAAAGGTAACAGATTATTTTTTGTTAATGTTTAACAAATTATTTTGTTGAAAAAGTACACGTGATTTCAGGCAGTCAATCAAAACATTTCCCACTGACAATACGCATCAACAAGTTCAACTGACTTCAGCGTCTGCAACTTATGTTTCTGCTTACTTTATTCTAATTCGTAACTTGTTCGAACATCTGTCCAGAGTGTTATAAAATATTACCAGAAATATGTTATTATTATTATTCGGATTCCTTATACCTATTTAACGAGTGTGCGAAGTGCAAAGTATCCGAAAAAAGATTCCATCACTGGTTTTTAAACTGAACTTAGGGGATTCAGTCAAGTGGGTTAAAGTTACGAAATACACCAAAGTGTTGTAGTAGGTAGTAAGTACTGATAATTATTTTTTACCAAATTTCTTTGTAATTGATGATTTTAGAATGATGTGTTATTTGATTGTGTGTGTTATTTTCGTTTTTATTTATGTAGATGTATGTTAATTTTTATGTTTAGGAAATTGATTAATAAAGCAACATTTTTTATCAAAATTCTTTTCGTTAAAGTTACCAATTTTCAACAAATACTTTTGTTACCAAGTCTACAAAAAGGTCCTTTTTAAAAATTACAAGAATTATGGTTGAATTATTGATTTAAGATTTTGTTATTAAGTCTACAAAATGTTTGTTATAATTATACACAACTCTTTATTCAATTAGTTAGATTACAGTTGGTGGTAAGCTTAATATAAAGTTATGTGGACCTGGATTAACATAAAATCTAATTTGGTTAAAATTAACAAATAATTTTTTATTGTGAAGTTAAAAATGATAAAATAAAGAAAATATTGTAAAAATGTTAAAAAATCTTGATGACAAGAATCACCCCAAGGCGAAATGTTTGCTAGATCACTCCCTGCACCGTCGATTATTATATCTCGTGAATCCTCACAAACGATTATGCGGCCAAGTTGTATAAGAAAAACCCGTTTTTTTAAATTATCTTTTTCGGCGTTGACCACATAGCCGATAGGTCGATTATATTTTTTAGAAACGACTCTATTATGTAACCCATCCAAAGGGAAAATAACCAAACTAATCTCTTCGAATAAACAATGCCTGCGTTCTCTAGCGTATACGCATGATTAACACCTCTGGCCAACACGGTACTTTAATAACTAAATTTACTTCCATAAAGGAGGCTCTTTATAATGACTATATATTTTTCATTTTATCTCCCTATAGGGATACCTATATATAGGTAAACCGTTTTAATGTCTTTTTTAAAATAGTTTTGTCAAAGGCCCCTAAAATATATTTAAGTTTTTGATTAGAGTTAATAGATTCTAGAAAATAAATTCTAGAAAATAGTGTGCTTAGAATTTGCAACCATACACTGTTAAAAAATCAGATTTGTTAACATGAGTTTGTAGTTTGTTAATTTTATTTTGTAAAATTTTAACATAATTTTTTGTAGAAACCCAGGGTTTGTAATTATGTAAGCATTTTGTTAATCTTCAAAGGTTACAGATTATTTTGTTAATGTTTAACAAATTATTTCGTTGAAAAAGTACACGTGATGTCAGGCAGTCAATCAAAACATTTCCCATTTATTTAGGTTTGTGTTAATTTTTTTGTTTAGTAAATTCATTAATTATGTTACTACATTTGTTATCAAAATTCTTTTCATTAGAGTTCCCAATTTCCAACAAATACTTTTGCTATTGGTTCTACAAAAAAGTCAACAATGTCCTTTTTGAAAATTACAAGAATTATGGAATTATGGAATTAGGATTTTGTTATTAAATATACAAAAAGTTTGTTATAATTACAAACTACTTATTCAATTAGTTAACAGATTTCAGTTGGTTGTAAACTTAATATAAAGTTATGTAAACCTGGATTAACATAAAATCTGGTTAAAATTAACAAATATTTTTTTACTGTGTAGTTAGAACTATAGTTTTAATCGCGTTTTTTTACATAACTATAGTTACTAACTAGTTACTGTCTATTTACTGACAAGTTTGCTAACTAGTTACTAGCTAGTAACCAGCGATCACTGCAAGTTCAGTTACCCTTAAGCTATGTCAGTTTCCTTATTAAACATTATATTGGGATAGTAAACTGCTTTATTTTTTTTATTGAGTCTTGAATCTTTTCCCTTAACTTTAATTTTTTTTATTTAACAATGATATGTATATTAATATGAATAAAAGTCCTAAATGCTTTATTTACTAAAAATGTCTGAAATAGAATTTTCTGTAAATTTTTATTACCTTACAGAATTAGGTGCAACAAGTAAATAAGAATTAATTAAAACGAAGCAATATTACCAAGGGGATTATCTCAATAGCCTAATTAATAAATAATTATAAAAGGCATTTATAAATTATCCCTTGAAACGATTAAAGTCACTTACAAACAGCCGATCTCATCATTTTTAATTTTCGCGATAGTTATTAAAGATGCATTAAGCAATTAGCGCAAGGTGTGGTCCGTGAAACTTAAATTATATAATTTTAACCGTAATACATGTATTACAATTTTTATAACTGTTGTTCACTGTTCCTCATCCTCTTCGTTGTTTTATTTTTTTATTCTTTGGTTAGTTTGGTTATTTTTTACTCAGTAAAAAAATATTTGTTAATTTTAACCAAATATTAATCCAGGTCTACATAACTTTATGTTAAGTTTACAACCAACAGTAATTTGTTAACTAATTAAATAAGTAGTTTGTTGTTATAACAAACATTTTATGCAGCAACCAAAGGTTTCAGAGACCGGGCCCCCAGCCCCAGGGGGCCCCCAGAAGTGGCAAGAGATTTTTTTTTATCTAAAAATAAGAAAATGTTCAATATGAAAAAATAAAAATTTTGTTTTTTTTGTAGTAATAAATATTCGTTGCCTGCTTGATATTATATTTCTATTGTGTCCTTTTTTTTTTTAAATTTCTGAACTGAAAATTTGGAATTAAATATTTTGAAATAAGAATACCTATGTTAACCTATATTAATTGTGAATTTAAAATTACAAATCTAGAATCATAAACACTAAATTGAATACTTCAAATCGAAAGTAAATATAAAATTTTGAATAGGAAATATACAATCTAAAATAAGAAATTTTCGATGGATAAAAAAATCAAGATTTAAAATCTCAAATTCAAAATCTTGCAATCTAAAATAAGAAATTTTAGATTTCACATTTACAATTTTGGATAAAAAAATCAAGATTCAAACTCTCAAATTCGAGTTCTTATTTATAATATAGCATAAATTAGTAGTACTCTGAATTAATATAGCATACATGTATGTATGCAATGTTTGCAATGAGGCAGTTTGAAATATTGGAATAAAAATATTCTTTAAAACGTTGATCCTTTTTTTTCATCATTTTTATCCCTTCGAAATCCTGAGCCATGAATATTATTGTGTTGTTGAAAAATCCGACTGGGGCCCCCATTTCTATTGTTACGCCACTGGCACACGACGAAATGATCCTTTTCCATTCAAAGTCCGATATCTCAGCAAAAAATGGTCTTATCAAAGTCTAAAAAAAGCAAATTAAACCTGAATGAACAAGTTATCCGGTCCATATGGTTGTTAAGTCAGAACATTTTTTTCCTTTCCGTGGACCAAAAAGAAAGCCAAAAAAAATTCGAATTTTTTGTATTCGTTAGGATTGAGCGTTGCACGTTGCTTTGAAAATTTTTTCAACCAAAAATCTCAAAACTAGAAACTTTAAGCTTCAAATTGCTTTTTTTTACGGCTCCAATACGACCATTTTTAACATAGATACAGCTATCCGAATAAATCGCTAAAAATTTGGACAATTTTTGTATCCTTTAATTTTTTCCATTCCTGTAGAAGTTTTACATTGTTATTGGTTTCTTATGTGGAAACTACCAAATAATAAGAAATCAGATTTTTTAGTCTCGGTCAAAATTTTCTTATAAAAAATGTAATATATTCTACATTTCACTTTATTATTAATATACATTTTGCTCAAATACTCAATTTTTAAGATTGATGTTATTTATTGACAGAATATGCTTTAGTGTAGCGGATTCGAAAAAAAACGAAAATACCTGTTTTTTCTAGGTTTTATTCTAGTTTTTTTAAATGTTTTTTTTCACATCTGAAAACGAACCGTTTTTACATATCTACTACTACAACACTTACTGATGTATTTTGTAACTTTAACCCACTTCACTGTATCCCCTAATTTTAGTTGGAAAACCAGTGATGGCATATTTTTTCGGATACTTCTCACTTCGCACACTCGTTATATAGGATAAGGAATCCAAATAACAATAATAACAGATTTATGGTAATATATGTGTTTGTATTTGTCCTATTGTGTAATAGTCCTTCGGAAGACTTCTTAAGAAGTAAGGGTGGAACTAAAAGAGCACTTTTGTATATATGATAAACACTCTGAACAGTTTCGAATTACAATAAAGTAAGCAGAAACATAAGTTGCAGACGCTGAAGTCAGTTGAACTTGTTGATGCGTTTTGTCAGTGGGAAATGTTTTGATTGACTGCCTGAAATCCCATGTACTTTTTCAACAAAATAATTTGTTAAACATTAACAAAATAATCAGTAAACTTTACAAAACTTTAAGGTAAAATATTTTTCTTTCTTAAAATAAAATTAACTAATGTTAAAAATCTGATTTTTATAACACACTGTAATAGCTCCTTTTTAAAACTGCGCAACTTTGCAATTTTAATGTTATATTTCGAATTTGATAACCGCGCGCGGAATTGTGCTCAAAGTGATAAAGTGCTGTCCTGCTAAGTTTCTTATTAATAAAATACAACAGTGAGACTGGACATCCCAAATTTGCGCTATCAAAATAAAAAATAAAACTGTATTTACCATTCTTACCGATGGCCTTTTCAAGGGTGAAAATGGAATTGCTATTCTGCCATGCCCACGAGCATAGATCACAGGTGGTGAGGCCATCTGGGGTGGCGGTTTCGTCGAGAAAAAATGGCCGAGGCGGCGGCGGTAGAAAATTTCCATTGAAGAAACTTTCCAGTGGTTCAAAAAGCAGCTCTTCTCCGTCCAGGTCGCTTCGGTTGATGGCATTCGGCACCCCAACCGACGCCTGAAAAAAAGAGTATTTTATATTAATTTCTTACTAAACATATTTATTGTGTGGCAGTCTATAATTAGGTGTACAAAACCTCGTAAATTTGCATATCTTATCAGATGAAATAGAAGTTGCGATATAAACATGTCTTTGGATATTTATTAAGAGCGCTCGTTTGAAATACAAAAAAAAAATAACAAGAACAATATGTATTTGCATAAATAAAAGGTTTGCCTACTGCACCCCACACAAGTAATAAATTTTTAATCAGGAATTTGCTGCGATAGGCCTTTGTGGCCCTCGAGGAAAACGATCACAGGATGACCACTTACGAGAAATGTAAGGTAGGCGAATATAATATGGGTACTAAAAAGACAATATATGGGTGCTTCTGAAAATCGATTAATTTAGCAGTCAAACTATCATTTTGATAGTTTGGTGACAGAAGCCATGCTTTTTACGCTTTTAGTTTTAAACTTTTTGAAAATTTCGGAATTTTAAACTTTTTGTCAATTTTGGAAATTTTTGAAATATTGAAAATTCTTTAACTTTTTGAAATATTGGAAATTTTAAAAATTTTGTCAATTTTTGAAATTTTATAGTTTGAAATTTTGAAAATTTAGTAACAGAAGCTTCTTAGTTTTTAAAAAATTTTGGAAATTTAAAAAATTTAGTTAAATTTTTTAATTTTAATTAACACGTTCATGGATAGAACTGCAAATGCCGCCGGGCAAATTTGTAACTGAAAATTTTGTTAATTTTTTTACTTTTAGTTTTTAACTTTTTGAAATATTGGCAATTTGAAAGAAATTTTAAAGTTTAGAAAATTTTTGTAGTATTAATTTTTTTTGTAATTTTGAAAATTTTGTTAATTCTTACACTTTTAGTTTTAAAATTTTGGAAATTTTAAAAATTTTGTTAATTTTTTAAATTTTTGTTTTGAATATTTGAATTTTTTTGGAATTTTGAAAATTTTGTTAATTTGGTGACTGAAGCCATTTGCTTCTTACGCTTTTAGTTTAAAACTTTTTAAACATTTTGTGAATTTTAAATTTTTTGTTAATTTTTGAAATCTTTGTAATTTTGAAAATTTTAAAAAGTTTTTAAATTTTAAAAATTCTTGGAACTCTAGAATTTTTTGGAATTTTCTTTATTTGGTGACAGAAGCCATGCTTCTTACTTTTAGTTTTAAACTTTTTAAAAATTTTGTCAATTTTTGAAATTTTAGTTTTGAAATTTTGAAAATTTATGGAATTTTAATTTTTTTTTGTAATTTTGAAAATTTTGTTAATTTGGTTACTTTAAGTTTGTAACTTTTTTAAATATCAGCAATTTGAAAAAAAAACATTTTTTGAAATTTTAAGTTTTGAAAATTTTTGTAGTATTTATTTTTTTTGTAATTTTGAAAATTTTGTTAATTTGGTGACATAAGCCATTTGCTTCTTCCGCTTTTAGTTTAAAACCTTTGTTAATTTTAAATTGTTTGTTAATATTTGAAATTTTTGTAATTTTGAAAATTTAGTTAATTTTGTAACAAAAGCTTCTTAGTTTTAAACTTTTTGAAAATTTTGAAAATTTAAAAAATTTTGTTAATTTTTTTAATTTTAATTTTATGAAATTAAAAAACAATTGTAACTGAAAATTTTGTTAGTTTGGTTACCTACTTTTAGTTTTTAACTTTTTGAACTATTGTCAATTTAAATTTTTTTTGTAATTATGAATTTTTTTTTAATTTGGTGACTCAAGCCATTTGCTTCTTACGCTTTTAGTTTAAATTTTTTTAAAAAATATTCTTAATTTTAAATTATTTGTTAATTTTTGAAATTTTTGTAATTTTGTCAAAATTTTTAAAATTCTTGGAAATCTGGATTTTTTGGAATTTTCTTAATTTGGTGACAAGCCATGCTTCTTACTCTTTTGATTTTAAAATTTTTGAAAATTTTGTAAATTTTATCAATCTTGGGAATTTTTTTTAAAAAATTGTAATTTTGAAAATTTTGTTAATTTGGTGACAGAAGCCATGCTTCTTAAGCTTTTATTTTTAAAATTTTGAAAATTTTAAAAATTTTGTTAATTTTTTAAATTTTTGTTTTACGCTTTTAGTTTAATACTTTTATTAATTTTAAAGTTTTTGTTAATTTTTGAAATTTTTGTAATTTTGAAAAGTTTTTAAATCTTAAAAAGTCTTGGAACTCTAGAATTTTTTGGAATTTTTTTAATTTGGTGACAGAAGCCATTTTTTAAACTTTTGAAAATTTAAATATTTTATCAATCTTGGAAATTTTTAAAATGTTTTGAAATTTTGAAAATTCTCCACAATTTTTTTGTCCTACTGTGCGAATTTGTCCTACCATTTTTAAAATTAATCCTACTGTGCAAGTTTGTCCTACCTACAGGTAACTGTAAATTGTACTTTGAACGCTACGTACTAGATGGCGTTGTTGACATTACAGGGAACTGTAATTTGTAATTTAGACGCTACGTACTAGATGGCGATTTCAAAATGCACTGTTGGACGGTACGTCTGTAACTTCATGCTCTCCTGATACTTAAAACCGTTTAAAACCCATCTTAGATGCAACACGGTTTATTAATAAAAAAAAGTAACAAAAAGACCCACTTTTTTCTCAAACTTAACCATATAACGTTCACGTACCATACTTCTTGTAAATAAGTAGAAGTACATACAATTGTAAGATAAAAACTGAAGAGATAGCAGATTGGCACTTGTGCCGGTACCCGTTTAAGGCCGATCTAGAAGGTGTTTGTAATCTAATATCGTAAATTCCTTGGGAAATAATCGAGATTTATACATCCTATTAAATAAGTCAGATGCCTTATCGCCTTCTGCTTATTCTTTCTCTTCTTCTTTGTACGCGCTGTTTACCGGTAGTATTGTCAGCGTGCATAAAGGAAAATAAGGTGTTAAGACGTTAACGGTCCAGTCCGCCAAAAATTTATTATTTTGGGCGAGATATCTGAGAAAATTATCAAGAAATTTTGCATACTGTTCAGGTCAAATTGTAAATTAAACTTTCTCTTTGCAAAAATGGCAGATCCATCGAAACCAAAGTAGTAAAAACAAAACTAGCTAAAAAAATACAAAAACTTTGTAAATGTGGTGATTGTGAAGTGCCAACATAAAATTTAAAATTACAAGTATAATACTGAAAAGTATGATGTACAAAACAACAACAATATCAAAGAGTAGGTATACATATTTTCCATTCGTCTGAGAAGCAAACATTCAATATGTGGTTGGGTGTATTACATTATTTCACAAAATTGTAGACGGCAGTCATTATCATCTTCATGCATTTCTTAAAGAAGATGAATTTTATATGGGTGCCATTTATTATGTTTCATTATCTCGTTTTTTATTTACCACTGAAACAGTTTGCCGGAATTTTGCTACTAATTCTAGGATGTAACCATGATGTACGTGTCTACTTGCATGACTCTCATTAAACAAAGTTGCCGTTACTCTTGCAAAATAAAAGCACAGAAATACGAACTATTCATACCAACTACTTTAGCGAAGGTAAAGTCAATTTGTCGACTGATATTTAAACTAACTTAAAAACAATTTTTTCAACGAATTTAATTTACGAAATTTTAAAAAACGAAGCACCAAAAGATGAAACACAACATACCCCTTTTCATTTGCACAGAAAAAACCAATGGAATCTTGTAATCCGTATTCCTGAATAACAGTTCCTATAATACCAATAGGTAGTTAGCACTTGGTTTATAATCGTTTACTGTTTTTAAATTAATAACAAAAGTTATCGCTCCTAAATCTATTGATATTCATATTGATATTTATTTGTTAGAATGTTAGAATGTTATTGCATTAAATACTAATTTGATTTATTTAATAACGTTACTATTGTATGTATACTATGTATACATTTAACTTAATAAAATCCTTGACGTTTAGGCAACATATTTCCCTATTTTGGTTTGATAGTAATTAATTGAGCAAATAACAATTTAGATTCCTTCAATTTTAATGCATTCAATGACAGCGCTGTTCTTGGTACTATGTTAGATTTTTTTCTGTGTGGGTAAACAAAACAAAAGTATATGGGTCAGAAGATTTTTTTATTTTCACATAAAAAGGCGTAAACCTTGCTGGACTGTTTTTAATGGGCCACCCTGTATATATTTGTATAATAATTTATTTACATATTCATTATTTAAAATTTAGCAGTTTACTTTTTGTTCTATTGAAATGTAAAAAATAATTTAATGTTTTTTTTGTATTTAACTCTTACATGCCTACTTTATTTCGTTCAGTTTATCTAACTTTATTTAATTGATAAATTTATATTCATTATTTAATATGTTAAGACTTTGTTTTAAGTTCTGCATATCAAATTTATTTACGAAACTTTGTTGATTGTTTTTGGAAAAATTACCAATTAACAATTTATATTGACGAAGATGGTTGCTAGGGTTATTGGTATAAGTTGTTTGTTTGGCTGAATTTAAATTTCCTGTTTGTATTTGTAATTTATGACAGTACAATTTAATTTTATTACTATTGTCCACTACTATACCACTTATTACTATTACTTTATAATAATAATTATATTACCTGATTGTATTTTTTATTTATTACAGTACAATTTAATTTTAATACTATTGTCCACTACTATACCACTGCTATTTATGATGTGTTTTGTGAGTTAAGTTATATTATATTTTAGGTTTTACGTTGTTTTTGTTTGTTGCTGTACGTTGATAATTGTGTTAATTTGTATTTGTTTTGGTAGCCTAATATTTATATAGGTGAATAATCTTATAGTACTTACGTATCCAGAACCGTATTTACAACAAAAAAGAGGTCCTAAATTAATTTATTTTAAACAAGACAAACACGTGTTTTGGCCAAAGGTACTCCCTTAAAATGAATTAGTCAAAAATAACTAATTTTAAGTCATATTTGACTAATTGTCATAGCGAAAAAGCAGTCACTAATAATTAGTCAAATTCTACTGAATGAAATAGTC